AAATAATAATAATAAATAAGAAGTATAAACCAACAAATTATGGATTTGAAGTTAAATGAACATTTTTATTATTATTTTTATTTACATAATTTGCAACTGTATAAAAATAAATATACATCCAGTAAATTTGATTTAATGGCATGAAAATAGTTGCGGAGAAATTACCCATTAGTAGCACTCTGATTGATTGTCTAGTAGACATAAAGCTAGTCTTTTAAAAACATAGTCATAACTATCTACAATATCTTTCACTAGCATCAGCCAATAGAGTTTTAAGTAAGTAGTAAAAAAGTAAATTGTGTCATACTACGTCGCACCACTTTTTTTTTTAATATTAGCCATTTTAATATATATATATATATATATATATATATATATATATATATATATATATATATATATATATATATATATATATATATATATATATATATATAAGTTAAGCGTCGCCGGGCTTTGCAAATAAAAAAAAAGAAGGAAAAAGGAACGAGAAACAATACTCACGGCTTCTGAATAAACACTGCTTTATTCGTTCAATAATCTGCCTTATATACAATTGCTATGTTTATTTACATTACAAGATGGTATTAAGGCTGATATCGCCAGTCTCCGGTCTTTATCTCCCCCCCACCAGTTTACGAATAGGATTTTCGGAAACTTATAAATTCCTAGATCGGAGCCACCGGTATCAGCCTTAACCCTTTACAATTATTCGTACCAGTATAAACTTAAAGTACACCAAAACTCACTTCCACTCCGCTGGAACGAGAAATAAATAAAAAGAAATAAACCACAGAAAGTAAACACACAACGTCTTATTAACAATGGAACAGAACTCTTAATCCTATAAAAATTACAATCGCCTCTATTATGTTGCTATATCTTTATTTACAAGAACCACAAAAATAAAAAAAATGACATCATCCACAATAATAATAATAGAAAAAACATATTTGTTATAATACGCGATAAGGGTACTACGAATCAATTGGTTTCTGTACCGATTCTAACATTGGGAGCTTCAATTGTTCAATATGAACAGTTCTCCTCTTCTTAGGTTCGTTAATGCTTTCAATGGTTACCAGATTATGCTCCCTAATAGCAACCACTCTGAATGGGCCCTCGTACCGTAACAATTGTTTCCCTCTGTTGGTTCCAATTCTACGATACACTATTGTTCCGATTTTTAATTCTCCCATTCGGTCACGTACCTGCACATTCTGCCGCGCTACCCGCTTCTCTTTTTCCCGCTGAATTCTCCCCGTTACCTATCCCCACGTCTTTTC